GGTTCAACCCAAACTGTAGCCGATGTGCACTCTTTCAACCGGTGCACTCGCATCTTGAACGTTTATGCTGGTGCACCGATGCGAATCGGTGAATCTTAACATCTCTAGTGTGATAGCATAATGATGGTGGCGATGAGTTGGGAGATGGCAGGGAGGCTCTCTTTAACACATTTGGAGGGCATTGGGTCAAGTGTGCAGATGGAGTTAATTCCAACTTATGGTCACATTTATAATAATTTATAATAATATAGACAATTAGGGCAGGGCTACCTTGTGATTGACAGGTCGCTACTACGGTGTTGACTGTTCTGAGTGCTCAAGTTACATTTTTGACCTAAATCGCATTGACTTTTTTTATTTATCCTCCTCTCTTTTTCAACCTATAATGGCCCTTATACCCCAATGTAGTAGCTTTGACAGGGTTTTTGACAAAGTGATTAGCTTCCAATATGCGTTCAAGATTCCTGCTATAACATTACATTACATTACATGTTACTTGTTAGACGCTTTTATCCAAAGCGACTTACATACTCAATGCTGTGGGCAATCCCCACAGGAGCAATTTGGGGTGAAGTGTGTTGCCCAGGGACACAACGACATGCTGACTGCAGTGGGGTTTGAACCTGTGCTCCCCTGATCCGAACACCAACGCACTAGTCCACTGCACCATAACTGTGATTTACATGCATTCATTTGTTTTGACAACTCTGTCAGTGTTGGCAAGAATAATTGTATAATAGTATAATAAAAATAATCTAAAACATTTCTTATCTTCAGGTCTTACCAGTTCTACTCGTCCAAAGCCACCGACCCCGAGAGTAGCAACGACCTCCAGCTGGTCGAAGGGCGTGGATGTAGGAAACGTGGAAACCATTTCCTTCAGCTGGATGACGTCTGAAGACAGCGGATGGCTCTGGTGGCGCGACAATGACCTTCTGAGGGGAGACAGAGAAAGGGCCTCGTCTAAACCAACCAATCACAGGTATAGATGTTTTAATTTTTTTTTCTTAATATGTTCAACTTCATCACTGCAAGTACCTGGCATGTCTCTTCTTGTCGTCACGATCAAGTGTTGCCACGTAGCCTTGGAGGTACTTCTGCAGCTCATTGAAGGTGCCCACTGTCTGATCAAATGTCCTTAAAAAACAACAACCACATGATGTCAACGCTGCAATGTTGGCTTTGGTTTAACTGATGTGTCTTACTGAGATAAAGAGCATTTGAGAAGAGGGTAAGAAAGTTTTCACTGATTCCACATTGTAAGTTTTTTTAATGTTTTACTTGTTATTGGAATTAGACTGCTGGGTAATGGGATGACATTTGGCCCTCTCATGTGTATCTCTGCCAAAAAGCTTTCGTCATGCTAATAGCTGTGGGGAGGGACAACACTTTTGTGAGTGTCCAGAAAACCACAGTTCAAATGTCAGAATACTCACTCTCTATCGATAACTAGGCACTCCACACCGTCCTCATCTGCGATAATATTAGCTGATCTGACATCATCACTGAAAAAAGACAGCAAGATGTACACACACATAAACACACATACATTTTTTTATTTTCTATGATAATGATTTTGGGATTAGTAGGTCTTTTTGCATTTAAAGTCAACCAAGAATGGCTCTGCAAAACAGTCACAGCTGTGAATCAATATGTTCAACATCTTGTATAAAAAAATATATTTAACCTAAAATAGAGTGTAAATGTATATTTGATAGCTGCAATATCGTACCTGTAATGATAGTTAAGGTGCTTAAACACAGTTAAAATGAAATTGCACACTTCTTTAGTTGTACGATTTTAAAGATTTTGTTGACCAATATCTGATTTGTTTATGTATTAACGCATATTTGGGAATTTACGGTAATGTCTGGGGCTGTTAGAAAGTGCTGGCTGTATGAGTTTAACAACAGGGGATTAAATAATAATTGTAAAATAAATTATGAGAGCTAACAATAGCGAACAAAAGCTAGTTAACTAGTTAGATGGATAGCTGATGTTTGCTATTCAACAATAGATTGATGGCTAAGTTCACTTGCCAGCTTGTTAGATAGATAGCTAACCGGTCGCTAGTTAGCTTGTCAGATAGAAGGTTTGCAAGCTAAATAGCACACTGGCAGGTTAATTGAGTTTGGTTTATAGGTTTACTTGTATTTATACATTTCAACACTGTGGACCTTTGCAAACCTTTGCGCAGAGATAGTTATTAGAAACTGTGGACCTGAGCTTAAGTGAGCCTGACAGCCAGGGGTGATTTGGTACTTTTCTTAGTTCTTCATAACGAAGCAGTTTACATCAAGACACCCTACGGACTTATTAAAAATGTGCTCTTACGAGATTTTGAACCATTTAATATGTCATCCTGCCAGCCGATATTAGAAGATGGATGTGTTACTGTTTAATCCATTCCAGTTTAACCGCAGTGTAGCTGTGAATAATCCCAAATAAAAATCATAGTTTACCATACTAGTGCTAAACCGGAAGAACTAACACACTGTGTTTGAACCAGGAATGGGAAAAAGGTCAGGACTGTATAAAGTGAATATTGGTATGCATCAGCATGAGATATTGAAAATAAGAGCAAAATCCGAATGAATTATTCAATCACATGTTGTCCGGACCTAGGCAGCCCTCAACAGTCTCACGGCATTTCGTGTTATAGTCACGACATTAATCTATTGATTCGTGTTCACCAACATGATTTTCGCATTTTTTTCGTGTCACACAGAACGATTTTAAAAGTAATGTAAATAATAACAAATATGAAGGAAAAAGACATAAAAATAACAATTTTATAAGCAATGTATTTATATTGGTAGTATTTTTCGTGCCTGCACCAAATAATAACAAATTAGAAGGAACATTTTTTATACAGATTTCAGTATTCTGAGGCTCTGAGCCCCATTTATTTTCCTCGCGGACGGCAAAAAAACTCCGACATTATACAATTTTAAATAAAAGGGTTAGGCTTAGGATATTGAGTAAGAAAATGTTTTTATGAACCACACAGCTTCTGATCTTCCAAGACCCGACCGGACAAAAAGACGTGGTGCAGGCACGAAATATACTACCAATAGAAAGACATTGCTGTTGAAATTGTTCTGTGTGACACGAAAAAAATGCAAAAATCGTCTTGGTGAACACGAATCAATAGATTAAATTAATTTCGTGACTATAACACGAAATGCCGTGAGAATGGGTTGCAGCCCTGCAAAAAAAAAAATGTTGTTGGTACGCCCACTATAGACCCAAATATATGTGCACAAGCACTGAAAAGGGGGAGTTTTTCAAATACGTTCCCTTTAAATATAGTAAGCAGGCAACGCTAATGGCTGGGTTGTGGATTTTTGTGTATTCATGTTGTAAAAACCTTATCTGTGATACTGGGGCAATAACAATAAACATGACTGGGATAATGGAACAGTATCTCTAACCACCCAAAAATATCTAGAGGCATGAAATATATGACAATCTATGGTGATGTGAGATGTTTGTTTTTACCTTATAAGTGCTTTCTCTCCAAAGTAGTCTCCCTTCTGCAGCGTGTTGATAATCTGCGGGAGCTTGTGGGCCTCTGTGCTCTGGGTCACTTTCACCTGCACAACACATGTCAGCTGGATCTTTAAAGCACACTTCACTTATTCAGTCAGCAGCTTTTACAGGTGCTTTCAATTTTCTCCAAATATTTGTACATGCAATGTAAAAAGTTAGAATCCTAAGAGATTGCAATAATCGACACATTCAATTATAGTAATTGTAACATGATGGCTACGAGTGATTAAGTGGGGTTGATGATATTTTAGTTGACATTCTGTAAGATAAAACACATTCGTTGTGAGGTTTTAATTAGCTGCCTCTATTCTGCTGTATAGAGCAGCAGTTTTTTTTTTTACAAAAATCCAACAGCAGGATGTTGTGAAACTTCTCCCTTATTTGTGAGGCTTTAAAAACCAAAACGCCGAAATGATATCACAGCCATAACGGCCGGGGTGTGTTTTAGCTAAGTGCCCCGTTCGACCCAAGTGACCTTCACTTCCCCTGTTTTTCCTGGTGGCAAAAGCTCTCAGAGCGTATCCCCTCCCTTGTCAGGGGGTACGAAGGGAGCAGGGGGGTGGAACCATTTCCTGTATGAGCCCCCTTTCACCCAAACAACATGTGTTCCTCTCTGGTTTAGTTAGCTTAGCTCAGAGGAGGCGCTGTCCCGCAATGCCTCATAATGGCATTTTGAAAGTCCCCTGTGGACAACTCTGGCCTCTCTCCATCTCCCCTGGCTCCCCGGTGTCAGGTTGCTGACTGATCAGACAGACGGGCGGGTGAGTCATAGTCCCACACCCCCCAAACTCACATACAGCTTGACCAACATATTGTTTTGTTGGAGTATTGACCAAAACTGGTCTGTTAAAAAAGGGAACCCTAACCCTATTTTTTGTGTAAGCAATTTAGTCAATGAATCAATGAGTCAATTGTTTGAATTTGCCACAAGTAAATTCCTCTTCGTTGAATTGCAGATTTGTTTCAGGATGACATGTATTCACTGTGGTTTGCAGTTTTGTTTACACAGATGCTGCAATCCAAATTGAAGGAAGAATGAAAGCAGAAAGGGTTCCAGTGTCCAGCAAGACAGACCAGCGGTATTGCTGTAGCTCCCAGCACTCATGCTCACTGATAAGAAAAGCCTTTGGTGCTGGAGCAGCATCCTTATCAGTGCAATAGAGACGTCATACAGAACTGTCTAACTGAGGCATGAGAGGATTTATTGTACTGTTGAAAGGACAGGATTAAGGGCTTGTGTCTCCAGCCCTAATGAGTGCAGAGTCTTATAACGGCTTAGAAATCTCTGCAGCCCATGTGTAACAGGTTTTCATAACCAATGGGAAACACTGCAAAAAAGGTTTTTAAATAGCTTGATTTGACATTTGCCTTGTCATTGTGATTACTATAGCATATTGACATTAGCATTAATTCAAAGCACTGTTGTCATTCTCCAAATGCTGCCTTCACATTGGGTAATGTTGGCCAATATTCGCAAGTGCCTTTTGAAAAGAGAGAACATTTACGTTTTGTCTTTTGTTACGGTTAGTACCATAATGTTAAAATCAGCAAACAGTGTTGCAAGGGTAGCAATTGAGGGTGCTGACATAAGTTATAAGCTCAATGATGTGCTTGTGTGTTTGTCTGTGAATAACATACATTACCTTTCCCTGTGCGATGATGTAGAAGGTGCTTCCCTCCTCTCCCTCCCGGATGACGTGCTCTCCCTTGTCATAGTATTCCTGATGGGAGACAGGAGGGTAATAATGGGGAAAACAACAGTCAGAGCTGAAGCACTACATTGATTTAACCATTGAACCAGTTGGTCTGATTCCTGGTAGCCGGTCCCCTCGGGGATGAGAGCTGGAGTTCAGCCATCAATACTGCTCCGTCATTCAGAGCTTCTCAGCATAGAGGGGATTTTGGGAAACTCATGGGATTAATGATACATGAAGTAAAGCTCGATAGTCTGTTGATTAAGATGTTTTTTAATGTCTGTCATGATGGCCTCCGATTATGGTGATCATAGGATTTGACAATGGGTATTATCTAGCAGAAATAGCAAGAAAGGCTTTCACAAGAACAGATGGGCTTGGATTACAGGGTTTTAAAATAAAGACCTTTTTTGGTATCAGGTTGCCTTGCACATATCAAGATAAATGTCACTGGTTATCTGCTCTCAGTCATAAAGTATAGAGAACAGCACTTCTCCCCATGCTACATGATATTATAAGAGCTGGGGTAGGCAGAATATTATTGGGATCAATTTGCCATGGCAACCTTTCAGTATATTTTAATATATGTCTGACAAACCTTTAGACTTCTGGGCTCTGTTTTCAGGCCTTAGAAAAGCTAGCCAGTGACTTTGGTCAATCACAGGAAATTTCAGAAAGAGTTCCTCAAGACAGTTTGTTGTCCAATTAAAGGTCCACGTTCCTATTGGCTTTGCTACAAAATGTAGTTTGATAAACAGCATAATATGGTGCAGGAGAGTTGCTTACCCAGCATTGGCAACAAATGACTTAGCTGCAAAACAATGCTGCAAGCTAGCCTCCTCAGCTACCTTAGCTACGTTAGTGCACCAGGCTAGCAACACTGTCCCTCCATATTTCTAATAGTTTACATTCCGTGTCAACTCGCCATGGCTACTACGGTTAATGAAGGCAAAAGGCTAGCTATCTTTAGCAACATTTCTCTCCATCTCTGAAACCCTTTACCGATATTGTAGCAAGCTAGACGCTCAAATCCCAGAATCAAATCTCAAAGAGTCCGAAGATGTCCGTTGTACTGAGCAATACAAAAAAATGCATGCCAGCCGATATGACTGGAAAGTATAGGTGCCCATAGCATAAAAAGGGGTATTCTGATATATCATGTTCTGGTAAGTCATGAAATCATGTGAAGTGAAGACCATCGCATTGCAAAGTTGGAACAGATTCCCTTATTTTATATATCATATTCAAATAGTAAGAGTGTATTTTCTTCCTCGCACCACATACACTTATATCAGGCAAAAAGAAAACCCATTTTTATTGTGTTTTAATTTCATCAGTAGGAATTCAACGGTAACATAGCCTTCGGTATCAGTATTGTTGATTCCTGCAGAATATACCCTTTTCACATAATCTGAATGTTTGTTTAACCTCAAAGAGTCTTGATTTGATGATAACTGACACCTCTCAGCCAATCAGACACAAGTGCTTCCAGTAGCCATGGTATAGGCTCAAAGACTTCGCAAGAAGTCCGCTCTCACTCGGACACACTCCAGTTGGTGCTGCTCACACTTGACGGAGAAAGACTCTCTCAATGTTTAGATAAGTTTTACAAGCATCATAAAACTGAATGAAACCTTAAAATACTCTTGAACAGGTGTCACCAACCTTTTTGTCACCGAGGGCTACTTCAAGGGTACTGAGTAATACGAAGGGCTACTTGTTTGATACAAACTTCCTGAATAACATAATTGCACGGTTCACCTTTAACGATAATATTATTATTAATAATAATCAGAATACATATTAATTTACTGTATGTGAAGGACTGTCTGATCACATATTAATGTTAATTATTCCTCACAATAACTATTAACAATGATTTACCATTGCTATAGCAACCCCATTGTTTTGTTATGAAAATGTATCTATATTTATACACATTCTCGCGAGATCTATCAGGGGTCGTTGTAATGCTGCGTTCACACCGGACGCGACTTCGCTCTAATCGCTTGAGTTTCACCGCTGCTGCCAGCTGTGTTTACTCGCATCATTCAAACAAGACGCGCTGGCTCGGGAGCTACAACTACAACAAAATGAACATATTTTACCGTGATTAAATTGTAATACACGTTTCTAAATGATGCCGAAGTAACAACATACTGATACCGTTTAGTAAAAACCATGAATTAATGATTGACAAGTCTGCAGACAAGACGGCAGGCGAAAAACCTTTTAAAATGCTTGTTTTCTGAATGGAGATTGGGTCGACCAGGCTAAGCTAACGTTGTATATGCTCATTCCACACTCATAACAACGGCCTACAGACATAAATAAACCAGCGACTGTATTCGCCATGACACAGACAGTCTGTGGTTTGTACTTGTTTAACTTTTGTCCAGTTTCTGAAAAGATATGAGGAGCTGTGATCTCTGTTTGGATGTTTTCTGGTTGAACGTCAGTGGCAGGCTGAGATCCTCACCAGCGTGTGTGTGTGTGTGTGTGTGTGTGTGTGTGTGTGATGAGGCCCATGATCGTAGCTGCTCATGCTAGCTTGTCTCAGCTAAAGGTGGAACGGAGATTTGGTGCGTGGAGTTCAACTCTGAACCTATCTGGGGTCAGAGTTCAATTTCACGCACCAATTCTCCATTTCACTTACATATGTCCATACAAAATGTGTGCTTTTAAAATGTTATATTCAATATTGTCATTTTAAAATAAAAATGTATTCAATAATTTTTTTAGACGGAGCTCCATGGTGACTTGTGCTATTTTTAGAACATGCACGCGGGCGACCAATTTCCCCCCTGCGGGCGACTTGGTGCCCGCGGGCACCGCGTTGGCTACCCCTGCTCTTGAACATCGAGGTGTAGTGTGTTCTCTCGCTCATTCAGACACATATTCCTCCACTTTATGCCACCAGTCATACAGAACCTGACGCACCATCCTGACTCAGCGAGCTGCCAGATCACCTTTCCTTTTAAAGCTTTTAGGTGAAGAAGGTGGAAATGCAGAGAATTAAGTTGACCAGGAGGATAAGTTCTCTGGGACAGATGCCAAATTTGCTCAACTACTGTAATCCATTCGACTATAGAGGACTTTGGCCGAAAGTGAACAAACAAATCAGAGCAACCATGCGTAAACATTCCCGGGTGTTTACGGACAAAACTCTTGACACAAGTGCCATTTTTCTTGAGCGTCCAAGCTTTTATTCGACACGTTTACGCTTTATGAGAGCCTTGTTAAACACCTGTTGGTGACAACGGAAACAAAATGCCAAGGTTTTGTTTATAACGACTGTCTTGATGATACAGTGAGTGTGCAGGAGAGCGACACCATTTGAATTTTGCCTCGGGCAGGGCTTCAATTTGGTTTACTTATGCAGAGAAAGCCACTTATGCTCAGCTGTGTGTGTGTTTTCGGTTTGGTTGCACTATTTTTGGAGACTGTCAATCGACCAGCCACATCACATATTCAACTGCACGCCTCTCACTACTTCCAGGGACAGAAACACTAAAACTAAACTTGTTTTTAAGACCACCACAGTCTGCAGCAGCCCCCAGCTGGACTATTTGCCCTGTGTTGTCCTTGAAAGCATCTCGCTGCCTTCAAGGAGCCGTTCAGGAGCCGTTCAGCACACATGAATGATATAAAAAGACAGTGACAGATAAGTGATATTTATGGACCAAGAAACAACATTTTAAATACAAAAGGATTTATACTTCACAAGGTCACACATTCCATACTGTATTTGTGTTCCATTTACAGTTTTTCTCGAATGCCAACACACTACAATTATACATAAAGCACAATTATTTTAACTGACACTCAAAGAGCAAAACATCGGCTCAAATCTCCAAAACTCTAAACACGTTTTCAGCTTTTCACACAATTTGCAAATCAACATGGCACTCTCTGCAAACCACTGCACACGTTTCTCGACGTAAGACGCAGGAATCTGACATAAAGTCACGTGTTAGCAGGTTTAACACACTGATATTCAAAATGCCTCACACATGGACCAATGATCAAGAAACACGTTACACCTGACCAAACACCTGGAGTGGAGTGCACCAGCTGGGCGTAAAAATGTAGGTCTTAACTCTAACGTCGGGCTTAGCTACGTCCGACTTAGTGATTGAAATTTACACCGAGTGCACCAAGCCTGACTGTAGGTCGTAGCTGCGCCTGGTCTTACAGTTTTTCTCGATTGCTAACACACTAAAATTATACATAAAGCACAATTATTTTAACTGACACTGAAAGAGCAAAACATCGGCTCAAATCTCCAAAACTCTAAACACGTTTTCAGCTTTTCACACAATTTGCAAATCAGCATTGCACTTTTAGCATACCACTGCACACGTTTCTCCACGTAATACACAGGAATCTGACATAAAGTCACGTGTTAGCTGGTTTAAAACACTGATATTCAAAATGCCTCACACATGGACCAATGATCAAGAAACACGTTCCACCTGACCAAACACCTGAGAGCATAATTGTTGGCTCATCAATCAGGATGTTAGCACTATGAAAAGACCACAGGTGAGTGCTTTCTTACAGCAACAATGGAAGCCAACATGGAAGCAAGAGGAAGAGGAAGAGCTGGGCTGAGAGTGAGAGGGGGAGGAAGAGGTGGGTAAGAGTGAGAGGAGGAAGAATGAGAGGTAGAGCTGGAGGGAGAGGACCTGGACAAAGAAGAATACGCTCTAATTACGTAAATGTTATCAACCATGGTGTGACGATGAGCGAGGCTGGACAGAGGGTTCAGCCTAATCTAAGCCGATGTACTGTTGCCTCTGTAATCCGGACACTTAGACTTGAAAACAGGTTAGTTACCAGTTTTCAGCTCTGCATAATTCATGATATATTTAAGCAACAGCTCACGACAGGCCGTGGTATATGCTCATTATATCACAGCTAAGGGGCGTGGTTCGGCCCGACGCGAAGTAGAACCCCCTTAGCAACAGCTGCACATGCCCAGATGCTATGATATTATTTACAATATTAATAAAACTATGAATTCA